ATTATTATTATTATTATTATTATTATTATTATTATTATTATTATTATGCTGAATTATGTTTCCCTTAAATTGAATCAGCATTTTATCATGTTTCTTCCTAATATATGGTTGGTTACAACTCCACATTAAAAATCTAAGATCATGGCATTCAGTCCCATCACTTCCTGTCAAAAAGAAGGGGAAGAAATGGAAGTAGTGACATTTTATTTTCTTTGCTCCAATATCACTGCAGACTGCAGCCATAAAATTAAAAGACACTTGCTCCTTGGGAGGAAAGCTTTGGCAAACCAAGGCTACATATTAAAAAGCAGAGATATAGTATATTGTACTGTATAGTCAAAGCTGTGATTTTCCAAGTAGAAATGTGAGAGTTGGGTCAAAAAAAATGGCTGAATGCTGAAGAATTAATGCTTTTGAATTGTGATGTTAGAGAAAACTTTTGAGAGTTGCTTGGACTGCAAAGAGGTCAAATCAGACAATCCTAAAGAAATCAACTCCGACTGTTCTTTGGAAGGACAGATACTGAAGTTAAAACTCAAATACTTTGGCCATCTAATAAGAAGAGATAACCCATTAGAAAAGACCCTGATGATGGGAAGTATTGATGACAAAAAGAGAACAGGATGGCAGAGGGTGAAATGGTTTGATAATGTCATTGGCACAATGAAGATGAATTTGAGCAAACTCCAGGAGACAATGGAGGATGGGGAGTACAGCTTGCTATGGTTCATGGAATCACAAAGAGTCAGATGACTCTTAGTGAATGAGCAACAAAAACCATAAATATTGAATTAATAACTGAATTTTATATACTTACCCTGTAATATACTTTGAATATGTTTATATTTTTGGGACAAGAGAATATTTGATAGACAACTGTATTCCTTGAAATACATTTCTCAATAAATGGCATCATTAACCTTAAAGCTTGATATCTAGTGAAGTCCTAAGGCTGTTTAGCTATAGAAATTGTTTAATTTTCAATGATTTAATTATTAAAATTCCATTATTATTATTATTATGAGAGAATTACTTTGTTTAAAATATATGACATTCATTATCTGGAGCCGTAGTTTTACAATCCTACAGCAAATATTTGAATTGAACCTAGGTGAGGCATGCTTAATAAATGTGTTCAAGATTTCAAAATGTATGAAAACAATAAAAAGCACAGATTTAATTGTAAACTTAAATTTGTTATACTTATTAAACATTTTCCCTTTTCTCCCATTTGTAGATCTACCACCCCCACCAGTGCCACCTCCAGCTATAAAATCTCCTACTGCCCAGTCCAAATCTCAAGTGGATATCCGCCCTGTGATGTTGCCAAAGTTGTCCTCTATAGAACCAAGAACAGAAAGAGCAGTTGAAAGAAAAGGAATAGGCTATAAAGGAAAAGAAGGTTCTGATGGCTGTCAGCATTCTGATATGTGGACATGTTCAGGGGATCGTAGAGAATCACAGGAACAGCAAAGTGATAGTAAGCTAAGAGGAAACAAACCAGCAAGAAGAGATGGCACACCAGCAAAAACACATCCTCTCCCAGGTAATGCATTGATTTTATTTCCAATATTTATGAATGACTATGTTGCACGTTAACACAGACACTAAAGCATATTTCACACTGACATAAAAATTTCAGAGGGGATTATGCATAGCACAGTATCTTAAATCTTTAAATTATATAATAGTAAAAAACAAAACAAATAGTACAAAACTCTATTCAACAGGAAAGAAATTAAACAATCGATAGATCCTAATTTTCTCCTATGCAGTGTTGTGTAGTTACTTCTAGGTTATCTCTATGACCCTATTTTCCCGACTTCATTAAAAGCAGTCATATTCCTAGAAGCAAGGAAAAAAGAAAAAAAAGCACTCAAGCAAATTCAGCTTTTGGTAACAGTGTGTTAAGATGACAAAATGAGAGTTAATTAGTCATTACACATAAGTGTGTAATGTAGACAACAAATATTGAACAAGGAAATCATTGGTAAGTCATATTGAGCTGCTCTGTTTTTCTAGAACAATCAGTAAAGTCTACAACAAAAATCTCTACCAGAGATTTATCCAGGCTACCTGTTTGATATCAGCTAACTTAAACATGAAAGAGTATACTAGAAACTGAGAAAATTACATAAATGAACATCAAAGCAAGAAGTATGTGACAATGGGTTAGAATAAGGAGAAGTCACTAGGAAGTTTTTTATACCTTTTGCTTTACAGTTTATATATTAATGGCAAAAAGCAAGTGGCAAAACTTGCTGCTGAAATTGAAACACTGTTAATGATTAATTTATTATCTTCTAAAACATGGCCACCAACCTTTTGGACCTCAGGGACCACCAAACTCATAATTTTAAATCCCAGGGACCACTAATATGAATTTTGACTGACAGTGGCTTGCTGACATTTGTGGAAGATAGATAGGTAGGTAGGTAGGTAGGTAGGTAGATAGATCTGTTCTGATCTGATCTAACCTGTCTCTCTCCCTCCCCTCCCTCTCTCTCTCACACACAAAACAGACAGAGGCAGGGGTGGGATTCAAATTTCTTAACAACTGGTTCTGTGAGCATGGCCTAATTTGTTGGTGTGGCTTGGTGGGTCATGTGACTGGTTGGGCATGGCTTGTATGTATATATTATAAATATTTATATAAATATTGATTTTTTTATTAAAAAAGAGCAACTTTTGCCCAAAATCAGGCAGAGCAGGCAGGCAGATTGAGTTGCTCACAGAATCACAGATTCATTCGGAGATCTATCTTTCTGCTGTTGGCTAGCTGAGCGTGTCACATAAAATTTGCTTGCAAGCAAATTCACAAAATTAACTCGCAACACACCATGTATGTAAATATTGAATTTTTTATTAAAGAAGAGCAACTTTTACCCAAAATCAGGCAAAGCAGGTAGGCAAATTGAGTTGCTTACACAATCACAGATTCACTTAGAGATCTGTGTTTCTGTCATCGGCTAGCTGAGTCTGCATTGCTTCAGTCCTAAGGAAGGTTTGGCTCTGCTTAAAAGCAGAGCGAAGATCTAAAGATTAGCTAGAAAACAAGAAATCCAACCATTTCCTGCTTTTTAGCTAATCTAAATCTCCTGGCACAGCAGAAAAGCTGATGGTCAAAAAAAGGAAAAATAGCAACTTAGCAGGCAAGTTTGCAAGGTGAGGAGCGAGTGGGCAGGGAGGACAGGCCATGTGGGCGGCGCAGCCTTGTGTTCCCATGCAGCCTGGATTAATTGCTTTGGGGGGTGCTCTGGGGGTGACATTTCTCTGTGGACCACCAAAAATTTTTCATTCTAGAACAGTCTTTAAAATACTAGTAAAAATCTTTGTACATTGATTAATGATTCATAGAATTTTTGAGTTGGAACTTCACAATGTATATCTTTCTTACACTATGTATTTATGTCAATAATAAATCTTCATTTCATAAAACTCATCCTAGCCAACACCTATCTAAACTTGTATCAGAATCACTGTATTTAAGATAAAATGACATTTCTGGAAGTCCGAGAACTAAGTAAGATTTAGATTAACAACTATATATAGTAAAATATGAGGCAGCACATACTTTTTATTCAGTAAATATTCAGAGTTGAATATTTTCCATTCTCTAATACTAAGGGCTGTTAGTAGCCAGTTATTGCAAATACTGAGATAAATGGGTTAGTGATTTCAGATTATAATCTATTCAGAGGCATGTTTGTTTGTTTGTTTGTTTCCACATTTTTCAGCCACCCTCCCCTCATTTCTCTCAGAGAGTGACCAAAATATGATACAAAAATATTATTCACCAAATTTTAACTAAATCAGTTCTTATAAGTTTTGTAAGTAAGAAGACAGCTAAACTAACCTTAAGGGGAGCACTTACTACAACATAAGTACACCACTGAAAAACAGTACCCGCCAGATGATTTATGGATGCCATAAACAGTTTGTTATAGTATTACTGTAGTGCATGATTTATTCTGATTAGTGGAGATGATCCTGTAAGTTCCTGAATGCCAAATCACATGGTGCTTCATAGCAATCAACCTCCAAAGTTTTACCAACTTGGAATGTAAACAGATAATTTTGCCCATTCAAGAGGACTTCAAAGTCTTTCAGAGTCTTTCTTTAAATCAATTTGACCTGAACTCTTATCATTTAAAAATGTTTAGAAACAACACTTATGCTTGGTATGTGAGCATTTTATCTAAGGCATTACTAACATATGTGCATATCTTTTTAGAGGATATTTTGCCATACTGTAGACCAACATTTCCAACATCTAATAATACCAGAGATCCTAGTTCTTCAAGTTCCATGTCATCCAGAGGATCAGGAAGTAGACAAAAGGCAGAGCAAGCAAACTTAAGTCGAAGAAATATTGCAGAAATGCAGGTATTTGGAACTTATGATCAAGGAGAAGATGAAGATGAATTGCAGGTAATATGAATTTCAATAATTATTAGAAATATGAAAATCTTTGTGGTGACCTAAAAGTTTATCCTCAAAGCAGAGCATTCTTTAATTCATAGTTTACAGAATTTTAGAGTTATAGTAGAAAAACTGTAATTAAAGTTCTACTGTAGCTTCATATTTATTTAATGCCCAGTAAATCTGTAAAATGTTGAACTTTTTTACAGGTTTTGCTCTTTATTATCAATATATGATATACAGTCTGAAATGTATAATGGTGTATCATATAATCATAAAAAGCAAGGCATCAAAGACCTTTGAAATTTAAATATTATATTAGAGCCATAATTATAATGAACTAATTGTTGTACTTCCTGATTAGAAGGATCATTAGAAAACAAAAATCTAATTACAGATTGTCCTCAACTTATGACTACAATTGAGCCCAAAATTTCTGTTGCTAAATGAGACATTTGTTAAGTGAATATTGCTCCGTTGTACGACCTTTCTTGCCATAGTTATTAAGTGAATTATTGCAGTCGTTAAGTTAGTAACATAGTTGTTAAATGAATTTGGCTTCCCCATTGATTTGCTTGTCACAAGAAATGATCACATGATTCCAGGACACTACAACACAAGTCATAAATATGAGTCAATTGCCAAGCATCTGAATTTTGATCACATGACCGTGGAGAGGCCGCAATGATCATAAGTGTGAAAAATAGTCATAACTCATTTTTTTCAGTGATTTGTAATTTTGAACAGACACTAAATGAACTATTGTAAATCAAGGACTACCTGTATTTAAAAGAATTTAAAAAAACTTAATGTTTTGACTGCCTATTTTTTTATACATACCATTTCTGAAATGGGTCATAAAAATATTTGAGAAATATAATGCATAGTAATTTTTGTTATTGTTTTACAGGAGACCGAAAGCTGAAGAAGAGATGTACTGTAACACATTTCTGAAACTTAATCACAAAGATATCACTTAAGATGCCTCAAGTCTGATGATATTTGATGCCAGAAAGAATAATGTTCAGTGCAATCAGAATGAACACTTTTTCATGTTTTTTGTCTTATTGTCAGAATCTTTATTTTAAAGCTCTTTTAAAAATAAAATTATTAATATGCCATGTTTATTTTAGGTAATGAAGAGGGTGTTTGATCTGTCCATGAGACCAATTAAGCTGCTTTTTTTTTGGTGCTATGTTTTTGGACAAAAAAAGAAAGTGGTTGATTTCTTTCATTGGAAACAAAGCAGTACAATGTAGAGAAGTCGCCAGTTGCATTTATAAACCCTTATAAAAGGGATAGTCAGCCTGATACTTTTCCAGACATTTTAGATTAAAACTCCCATCAACCAATATGGGTAGTATTATCAAAATTCATGAGGGTACTAGGTTGTCACCACCTAGTATAAACTGCCACTGATAACCAATAAAATGTTGCAAATAATTACAACTAGACAGAAGACACAATGTTATTACACAGGCTGTATTTCTGTCTGTGGCATTGCTTTCCGCCAGTCACATCCTTTTGTTATCAAAGTACAAATTTATTCAATTTGGATTATGGTGGCATATTGTGTAAATACATAAACAGTTTTTGAATTCCTTTAGTAATTTAATTTGTCTAGAGCCTAACCCATTTAATCATTGCATTCTTTACTTCAAGTGTTCTTTGGGATAGGAAGAAAGCATGTCAGTGAGAACTTGGCAGTTGCATTATAATTTAAGTTTATCAGAAGAGTCAAGCAGTTGTTGGCCTCAATCAATGCTATTTAAAATATGTTTTAAAAGCAATGGACATTTTGAACTATCATTGAGAAAGATATCAACCTGACTGGCCCAATCTCAGACCTCTACTTTATAGTGTCAGTTTACCTTAAATAAAAAAAGTGCCACTGAATGGTTGTTTTGTTCTTGGGGTTTCTTTGGGGGAGGGTGTGTTTGATTTTTTTTAATGCACTGTTTATTTTTTTATTATTTTTTATTTTTTGGTTTTAAAAGCACAATCACTAAACTTTATTTGTAAAACATTGTAACTATTAATAGTTTTTGTCTTACTGTAAGATGCTAAGACTTTGTGTTCTTTTTTCATACTTTATTAATGTTCTGTGTTTGTATTGAAAATATTTGAATGCTTCACAGATGGTAAAGGTAGCAAAGCTTAAGAATGGACCATAAGCAGAACATTGTATCATCTTAAGGATTTAAAATTCTTGAGTTTATGGTGGCTTATCTTGATATTGAATTTCCACAGAAACTGAAATAGAGCCATTAGTTCCTTTTGAAATTACAGGATGATATCCTCTGTAGATTTTTATTATCTTTTTTGTAATTATAAATATATTTTTTGTCATCGATGCTAATGGAAAACTGTGTATTTGTTTATGGACAATTTTCAGGCCTAGCCTCATCAGGAAAAAATAAAAAAATCATACTTTGGTATTTACTGAGGGCTAAAAAAAATTCATTTAGTCAATTTTTAAGAAAAAGTTACCATAAAAAGAGTACAGTACTGAGGGAACAACCCATGTGATTGTTTTTCATTATGTTGATGTAAAAAAACTTCCATATTTTAGCCATACTTTTGCATACCAAGGAATCAGTAATCATAAAAGTAATTTTTGTCACATTATTTATTAAAAACATTCTCAAATACATCATTTTCTTGTCAAGATCTGTTTTGTCCAGAACTTTCTTAAAAGCTTTCTTAAATTTTGTATTATTGGATATAAAATCAAATGGTCATTTTCATTGTGAATCAAAGAAAAAAAAAGTAATGTTATAAACAATAAAACATTAGAATTATATGGTCAGAAATTTCATAAAAGCTGACTTTGCAATGATAAAACTCAGTTGGAGATGATTTATTCTGGATTCTCTACCCAAAGGGCCAATTTACTTATATTGAAAACTTACTGGATCTCTTAGTTCTAAGCCACCGAGAGATAAGTTTTATTAGCAAGATAAGTTTTATTATTATTATTATTAAGTCCAAATGCAGCACTGAAAGCAACCATTCAGTTATGTGGAGTTTTAAAAAAAACCCAGTGTGGTTTACTGGAAAATATTATTCCATCCTACAAATCCTTATTACTAGAAACTAGAATAAGGAAGTTTCCTGCCAAGAATGCTTTACTTCTCACTGGCGTTTAGTATGACTGATCACTAATTTTGAAAGCTCTGGGGTTTGCTTTCAACAAATTTGAGTACTTTTGGGTGTGGTTCAGGTTTGAATGATCGGTGCGGTTCTTAGAGATACTGTTGGGAAATAATTTTGCTTGACATAAGGTTTGCTTTCAACAAATTTGAGTACTTTTTGGAGTGGTTCAGGTTTGAATGTTCAATACAATATACAAGATGTTCTTGGAAATATTGGGAAATAATTTTGCTTGAGGACATGACCAGTGTGGTTTCAGCCAGTGAGCTGATCAGTAAACGTGTAACCATGAGATTGATTTCTGACAGCCAGCTGATTAATCTGACCAGCATGGACAGAGTACTGTCTTACTTGTTTCCAAAGTATGTATCTTTCTTCCCAGTAATAGTCTCAGATTGTTAATTTCCTGCCAGGAGTAGTAGAAAAGCAGTGATTTTACTTTGGAAATTTTCCCATTCACTACCAGCAACCCTTCTACAATCAATTGAACAACCAAAAAGCAATAAACTGTAAGGAGGTTGCTGGGACAGAAAGATTCCTTTGTTTCCCATTTGTGACATTGTTACCTGAAGAATATTGTTTTGCAATTCCTGGATATCATGCCTGGATTATATTGACTATAATTGGTAATAGTTGGATATCAGGGCAAAGAAGAATTAGCATGGCTTTACAACCAGAAAAAAATTCCATTTGTAGGAAATAAGACTTAATTCTCTGATACTATCCCAGGCTATTTCTGGCTGCATATCTCACACTAAGCCCTGATTGAAAATGTCAGCTTGAATTTTCTTCTGAAGGTTACCATGCACATTTACATCAACACATATAGACACACACAAACAAAAAAGCAAGAGAGAGAGAATGAGAAAAAGATGCTTATTTTATTGGAATGTGTGTGGCTGCATCTGTGCTTTAGGACCTACCACAGTCCATAAAATATGTAAAGGTGTGAACACAGAAATATAACAAGATAAAATTAAAGCTCTTACATTTCCTTTATCGCAGGTTTATTATTGTTTCTTTTACAACTATATCCATATTTGCTTCAAGCAGTTCATCTTTTTTTTCTTGGCATCCTTCAGTCTCAAGAGACTATAGTATCATACTCTGAAAAGAGGTCCTAAAACAGCATATAGTGTGGCTAAAAAGGCTAATTTGAGAGTGGCAATCTCTTCCACACTGAGGACAGATACAGTCTTTCTCCTATCCAGCCCCTGGATTTCGCTGGTTTGGGTACAACCTCTTTGCCGAATGAGTGTCTCTTCGAATTGAAGAAGGTCATGCTGCGTCATTAGCCTCCAAGCTGAATGATCAGAGGTCAAGGTTTCCCAGCTGTTGATGTCCATTCCCAAGGCCTTTATATCTCACTTGCAAATACCCTTATATCGCAGCTGTTGTCTCCCTCTAGGGCACTTTCCCTGCATTAATTTTCTATACAGGAGGTCTTTCAGAATCCGACCATCAGCCATCCTCACGACTGGTCTATTATCCCAGGTCTATTGTTTTGTTTACATCTATATCCAGGGGTAGGATTCAAATTTCCTAACAACCGGTTTTGTGGGTGTGGCTCAGTAGTCACATGACTGAATGGGCATGGCTTGGTGGTCATGTGACTGGGTAAGTGTGGCCAACTCTAAGTCATTTGTGTAGGTGTTGCCTATGTGGGCCAGGAGGAAAGAAAGATCCAACCTCTGTGCATGTGTAGTGGGGGTGGAGGGAAGTTAGTTTTTAAAAAGCCCAGAGGAGGGGAAAAATAATGTTGTACCAAAGAAATACCAGGGTGGGAGCAAGGAAAGACAAGGAATCCCTGCTCTGAAAAGGGAGTACCCTCCCAAGAAAACAAAGGAGTCAAAACCTTATTTACTCATACTTTTTAAAAAACTAGTTCAACCGACATTAAAAAGCAATTTCAGTTTCACTTTCCCAGGTTCAAGACTCTTTGCTTAACATATGGGATATGTTAACATTTATTAATATTTTTAGTATCTATGTTTTTAATCACTAGGAATTCTCTATTTAACTAGATTTAAGAAAAGCACTTACATTAAGTTAGTGGCAATTTTCTATATTTCACAGGCAATGAATTAGTATAGATTCTCTCTCTTTCCCTCCCTCCCTGTCTCTCTCTGTCTCTTGTCTCTCTCTTTCCCTCCCTCCCACCTCCTGCCTCTTTGTCTCTTGTCCCCCTTTCCCTCCCTTCCTCTCTGTCTCTCTGTCCATCCGGGGGGAAAGGGTGAAGGAAGCTCTGAACTGGTGGTGGGTGATGGGAATCTGACATCCTGAAGAACAAATGGCTGGCAGGGAGGTGGGGCAATCCCACAGTCTCCCCCAAAATAAACCTTGGCGGGTGTCAGAGGAGCGGTGAGGGCTTCTCGTGAGGAGGAAGAGAAGTGTGCTGGGAGGAGATTTGATGGGCGACCTGGGTTTAATTCGCTGCCTCCATGATCCAGGCGGCAGGGAGCTAACGATCTGCCAGCTGCCTCTAATCTGCCTCCCCACACCAAGCTCCTGCACCCTCAACCATGCTTCCCCCTTGCCTTTCTTCCTACCTCTCCTGGCCAATGGTGTTTATGAGTAAACTGCAGCTAGGAATCTCAAATACAGCCAAGAATGTTGTAGCCACTGGTTGAGGCTACTAAACAGGCAGCCAAACTAAGTGTGTGAAAGACCCCATCTCGTCACTGGGAGTCTAGGAGACGTGGCAATTGGCAAGTGGCTGGGCTCCTCGAGAGACGAGGAGTTCGCAGGAGACTGATCTACCACTGGATACAAGTTCACTAAGTTCATTCTCATCTGTATTTGAGATTCCTAACTGCAACAAACAGCAAACCTAGCCAGGGTTGACCTCGGCAGTTTCTCTCTGCCAGAGTGCTTCCCAACTTACAGTTCCAAGCACAAAGCAGCAGAATGCATGGGCTGACATGACGCAATCAGCTTTGGGCTGTTAGCGGTCTGTGGAGAACGTGCTCGAATTGGCACCGAGAACTGCCCCAGGAGGGCTCAGGCGAAAACTTTTACAGGTTTCTTTCTGCCAGGCAGAAGCAGAGATGGGCGGGAGGCCTGAGAACACACAGCACCCTGGTGCAGTGCTCTCTCAAGGTCTTCCCACCCACCTCCTCCACCTTCCTAGTCCAGCCAGTGATCTCCTGCACACTTCCCTTGCAGGCCAGGCCGTCTTGGGAAGCAGTCAAGCACGGAGAAGAGCTCAGGTGCAGTGATCTCCCGTGCACTTACCGTGCAGGCCAGCCCAGTTTGGGAAGCAGCCAAGCACAGGGAAGAGTTCCAGTGCCGCAATCTCCTGTGCGCTTCCCTCCCTTTCCATGCACATCAGTCCACCCACCACCGGTATCACCCCTCCGCCAGTTCACCCTCCCCCACCCCACCCACTGGCCCGTGCAATGCAGCAATGCAGTGGCAGTGGCAGGCCATTCAGGATGGTAATGCAGCAGTGGTAATAAGCCTCACTATGTGCCCCTCCCCCGCAGCCCCTTTGGCCAAGTGCAGAGGGCCCCACCCCTGCTGTCTGCCTTACCTTCTCAGGCCAGGTGAAGAAGAGTGGCGGCATGGAAGGCGGCTGTATGAATGAGCGAAGAAAAGCTCCACAGACAGCGTGAAGTGAGTGGGAGGGGAGGAGCTGGGGGGAAGTCAGTGGTACGATTTTCCGGTTCTGCAAACTGCGCAGAATGATAACTACCCATTCTACCGAACCAGTCTGAACCGGTAGAATCCCACCCCTCATTATATCCATATTTGCTTCAGGCAGTTCATCTTTATTATTAAGTAACAAAAAGTACATCTAGTTACTTCAAACCTATTAGAGTTTTTGTTTGTCATTCTAGAAGATGACAAAGCTGAAGAAGTGATCTTTGGTGATACTATTATCAATATTGCTATTTTATTTGCTGTGTGTGTTGAAAACTTAGAAAATTTAGATTTAAAATTTCATGTACAGTATTTGGATTTTTATTGTGGTTCCAATAAAGAGCAATTCTAAATTTCAAGATAGAAAATCCAGGCAAAAAACTTCAAAAAACAAATCCATATAATTCCAAGTTAAGCAGTGTCTAGTGTCACAATAAGAACAGTATGGACTCATGGAATACAATTAATGTTTTTTCTCTCCTTTGTCTCTAAAATGATAAGAGAGAGGAAAACAGTACATGAAGACTTCCAACAGAGAACTTGCTCAGAGCTTTTTAATCAGCATTTGTGTGAAACAAAGCGGGTTTTTTTTAAATTTTTTTTAGCAAATTCTAGAAATACAATTAACATAGTTATCATTATTGTAATAATTTATCACAATATGTAATCATATTTGAGAAAGAGACATATTTATTTCTTATATTTTATTATTGTAAACTTTATGCCAAACTCTTGTCCCACCATTTTTTTTCAAGACATGGTGGTTTACAGCGGAAATTTCCATTTCATTTCCACAATAACAACCCTGCAGGATAGCTGGATGGAGAGGAAATAATTGGCTTAAATCATCCAGATA